CCTACTACACAGCCGCCATCAGATCGCTGGTAGATTACAGTGCTCCAGCACTCATTGGACTGAGAGAAGACCAAATAGCTAAGCTAGAAGTCATTCAAAACAATGCTCTCAGGACCATGCTCGGAGCACCCATGTGGACCAGAATTTGCAATCTGCAAATGAAAACCGAACTACCACCCCTGGCAGTACGAGTCAAGCAGGTGACAGCCGGTCTCCTCGCCAAAATCTGTAGAGCAGACAAGCTCACAGTTGCCAAGATTCGAATCAGTGCCTCCCTCCACCTCGACCACAGAGTGCGAGGGGCCACCTGGTCGCACGAGGCAAGCGAGGTCATCCGACACCTGCAAGCAGAAACACTCGTCAAGAACAACCAAGACACACGAGACAATGGTTACACTGTTCCTCCACCATGGAGCCCTCCACCAGCCACACTCCAATTCACCGACCTCGGCGACAGTAAAGCCAACCTCCAGAAGGAGGACCTCAAAAAAATATCTCTCCAAGCCATAGCCACCGAGACACCGGCTGATGCAGCATCATACTTCACAGACGGCTCGGTGGACCCAAAACATCACAGATCCGGAGCGGCCTTCTACACCCAAGGTCAGACCCTCAAATGGAGACTTTCCAACGACTGTTCCACCCTACAAACAGAACTGGTAGCAATCTCAAAGGCCCTACAACACGCTGCAACACAACACAACAAGTCCGTCATAATTCACACGGACTCGAAATCGGCCATGCAGGCGCTGCAACACAGTCAACCAAGAGACAACGTCCACATCATCACCTCGATCCTCGCACAGCTACAGGAATTCCAAAGCCAAAACCGACCAGTCGTCTTACACTGGATTCCCAGTCATGTAGGGATCGGAGGAAACGACGTGGCAGACGAAGCAGCCAAGGCAGCTACACGTTCTAGTAGCGTACACATCCAAGTTCCAGCAAGTGTGCAACAGATCAAGAATCACCTCAGAAAGACTACCAAGCTCCACATCAAAAAGAGCTTCCTTCACGCACTCAACGCTGGTTCCCAATCAGCCAAATGGTACCTGGCGGCCACAAAAGGGGAACCACCTTTCGCAGACAAGAAAACTCCAAGACAAACCCAAGTCAGCCTTCACCGACTACGACTAGGGTACAAGTGCTCCTGGCAGATGATCGGAAACGACGTCATGGAATGCACCTACTGTCAGGAGCCAGCAGCCAACCCACTTGAACACTATCTCCTCGATTGCGAGGTCACACAAAGCCTCCGAGACAGAACTCAAATCTCCCAAGAAACACACACAACACCAGCGGCCACTCTAACCCGAAAGGCCCATACAGACCACATTCACCACCTACTCCGGGTCATCACACGATACCCACCACCCAGATAGCTTAGAAAGCATCCTCTCCCAGCAAGTGCGGACCCCAGTTCGGGGGGCGCGCCACTCCGAAACTGACCACGTCCAAGAGTGGGGGCTGGTGGTAAGCGTCCACTGATCGGGGGTCCGCTCACACTTGCAACCTGCAGTATCCCTCCAATCTGCAGGTGGGACCACCTCCAATCCCAATCCGGTCTGGCTGCTCCTGGAGCTCCAGCCGGAACCACCAAACGGGCCGCCTATAGGCAAAGGCCCGTGTCGGACTACGGTCCGACAATCTACACAACAACAACAACCAGGCCGCCCGTATTTACTATTTCGTCGTCGAGATGGCCCGTACTAAACAGACTGCCCGCAAGTCCACTGGAGGCAAGGCTCCACGGAAGCAGCTTGCCACCAAGGCAGCTCGCAAGTCCGCCCCAGCCACCGGTGGTGTCAAGAAGCCCCATCGTTACAGGCCCGGAACCGTCGCCCTTCGTGAGATCCGTCGTTACCAGAAGAGCACAGAGCTACTCATCAGGAAGCTGCCCTTCCAGCGCCTGGTGCGTGAGATCGCCCAGGATTTCAAGACTGACCTGCGCTTCCAGTCGTCTGCCGTCATGGCTCTGCAGGAAGCCTCTGAGGCTTACCTGGTGGGTCTTTTCGAGGACACCAACCTGTGTGCCATTCACGCCAAGCGCGTTACCATCATGCCCAAGGACATCCAGCTGGCCCGGCGCATCCGCGGAGAGCGTGCTTAAGTCCTCTTCCTTGGGGAAAAAGAAAAAGCACAACAAAACCTACCAGACATCTATAACTCGGCCCTTCTCAGGGCCAAAGAACTGTTCTGAAGATAATTGTCATGACAATCGAAATGGTTGGTGGTAGGAGAGCGTTAATTTCGGTTACCCAAATCGCCTAACGGTAAGTTGGTAACATTCGTGCAGGCACGAATGTATAGTAGGTCATCAATTCGGGAGGTGGGTGGGTGCAACAAACAAGAGCTAGTAACAAATAAATGTATAAAGAATAAGTAAGTAAATAAATAAATAAAATAAAAGAAAATACAATAAAATACAATAAAATAAAATAAATTGTTTACATGAAATAGGCGTGCTGCAAACATGAAATGAAGCCCAAACACACTCCATGTATGTCACTTTGCAGTGGGTGTAAAAGTACTCCACGCAGAATTTATTTATTTATTTATTATGTTTCGATTTAGTCCGGTTTCTACGCCAATAGAGAATGCAGATTATTATAATTTTTTTTTTTTTTTATTTCCCTCTCAATATATCACTGTCGGTAACTGTCTCTTTAACATGTAACTGTGGCTCCGATGGAGCCGATTAAGTTGTAGTAGTGGGATGGCGTGTTTGTTGTGCACAAGTAACCTCTTACTTGGAAGAGGTGTACTTGGTGACAGCCTTGGTGCCCTCAGACACGGCATGCTTGGCCAGTTCACCGGGCAGCAAGAGTCGGACAGCTGTCTGGATTTCCCGACTTGTAATGGTGGAGCGTTTGTTGTAGTGCGCCAGGCGGGAAGCCTCGGCAGCGATGCGCTCGAAGATGTCGTTCACGAAAGAGTTCATGATGGACATAGCTTTGGAGGAGACTCCTGTGTCGGGGTGCACTTGCTTCAGTACCTTGTAGATGTAGATGCTGTAGCTTTCCTTCCTCCTGCGCTTCTTCTTCTTGTCACCCTTGGCAATGGCCTTCTGGGCCTTTCCAGCCTTCTTGGCAGCCTTTCCGGAAGTTTTGGGAGGCATGGCGGCACAGTTACTCGTGGCGCGGAGCGAGAGAATTGAAAACTGGCCCGACTAACTTTTCCTTATATACCGAGCGGGCCGCTCAGGATCAGACTGGCTGCAGCTACGGCTCTCTTACATTGGTTGGGTCCGCGAGACGGCCACCTGGCCTGATCCTGAGCTTGGTATAAAAGACCAAGGTGGCGGGCGGAAATTTAACTCCTATCACGAAAAGCAGCAGCAGCAACATGTCAGGACGCGGCAAGGGAGGCAAGGTGAAGGGCAAGTCAAAGTCCCGTTCTAGCAGGGCCGGACTCCAGTTCCCCGTGGGTAGGATCCACCGTCTCTTGCGTAAAGGCAACTATGCTGAGCGTGTTGGTGCAGGTGCACCTGTGTACCTTGCAGCCGTCATGGAGTACCTGGCAGCAGAAGTGCTCGAGCTGGCCGGTAACGCCGCCCGCGACAACAAGCAGACCCGCATTATCCCGCGTCATCTTCAGCTTGCCATTCGCAATGACGAGGAGCTGAACAAGCTCCTGTCTGGAGTCACCATTGCCCAAGGGGGTGTCCTTCCTAACATCCAAGCTGTGCTCCTCCCCAAGAAGACAGAGAAGAAATAAGAACCCAAGGTTCGTTCACACAAGACAACCTAACCAAACAGGCTCCTTTCGGAGCCACAGGATATCACTTAAAGAGAGAAATATACGACATCAACGTTTTGCAGGATAACACTCTATTTTACGTGTAATTAGCATAGTATTGTGGAAATAGAGTGAAATTGATTTAGAATGGTGTAGATGTGAAGGGCGGTTGTGGGGGCCTGGGGTGGGGGACTTAAACGGGACTTAGAAGGGCGCAAGAAGCAGCAGGAGCAGCAGCAGGAGGGAGGCGACCTTATTTTCACTCTGGTTCATTGACAGTACACATTTACCAGCAGCATACATTGGAGTCATATTGTAATTGTAGACTAATCAGTGTGGGCAAGCTAGCCAATTTGGGATAAACAGCAAGAATGTAATGTCCTCAATGAAGTAATGACATAGTTCAAGATACAATAAGTGAGGTGGCCTGAAGTCTTTGACAGTGTCCCATTCAATAATATAGTAGTGCTTTAAAGGTGTATCACCAAGTTTACATGCTGAGTGTTCCGGTATGGGTACAGCGTTACTAACTAGCCAGATGTGTCTGTATCCTAACCTAATTCTGGCCACGACTACATCACACAGGCAGGCAGGAGCAAGTTGTTTGGACACTCTTCCTAGCCCCCTTGGTCCCTGTTCACCTACCTACTGTAGCAGTAAGTAGGTACCTGTTGTAAATCGAAAGGTTGCCAATTCGTATTCAGGGAAAGTTGTTGGAGCTTCTAAACTTGAACTGACACAATCCGAGGAGTGGTGACCCGAGGATCACAGACACTATCTCTCCCACTACAAATCCCTTCCTAACCTCCTGCTCCTTCCTATGTCCTCCCAAAATTGAACCATGCTATCGCAAAGGTAATAATACAGGTAGAGACAACAACATATTTTCCTATTGTCTTATTATATATTAATAACAGAAACGCTGCCGCCATCCCGGAGGCTTTACATTGTCTCACTGTTCATTCCCTCCACAATTCTTCCTCTTACTTCTTCTTCTTCTTCTTCTTCTTCTTCTTCTTCTTCTTCTTCTTCTTCTTCTTCTTCTTCTTCTTCTTCTTCTTCTTCTTCTTCTTCTTCTTCTTCTTCTTCTTCCATCAATACTTTATTGAACGGTGTATGTAAGTTTCACCATGTTTTGCACTACAGCGGTAGAGCAAAGTATATTTTGTTAGCAATAAACCAAAAGCATATTTTATGGCCTAATCATCACTACATAGAACACCACCCATAAAGCATGATACTAGTAGACCACAAAAACTGCTATAAACACCCAAAGCATATTTTATTGCCTAATCATCACTACATAGAACACCACTCATAAAGCATGATACTATTAGACCACAAACTGCTATAAACCCCAATAATATACTATACTAGTGACTCTAATTGTGTTACCCAATATTATACGAAATAATACTATAAAACATAATAATAAACACACTAATAGTGTATATTAGTTGAATGCACAATCTGATGAGAAGTCAAAAAAAAAAAAAAAAAAAATAGCAACAACCTAGAAAGAGTGTAGAGTATTTTTGTGCAAACTATTATACTAGTAGATGGTCTAAGATAACTGTATGTGAAGGAAAAGGTGTGCTCTCCACTCAAACTTTCTTTTTATGAAATCTCCTACTCCCCAGCTGAGCGGTACGCCCAATGGGAAACAAAACGTGGCACATAACACGCCGCCCGCCAGCTCTGGCTCGGTGAATAGGAATCAGTAATCGGGCGGAGTATAAACAACACCGCCGCCAATGTGCTCCTCCCATCTCTGAGGAAATCTGGCGGGCAACTTAGTATTATATTAGCATGTAATAATAATAACAATAATAATAATAATAATACTACTACTACTAATAATAATAATAATAATAATAATAATAATAATATTAATAATAATAATATTAATAATAATAACATGCAATTTCATTTTATAACACATACTAACAAAATAGTGTATAGCCTACTATACTTAACTATAATAGGTTAGGTTGCGTAGGAGGATCTAAAAAGTACAGTAGTATACACACACACACACACACACACACACACACACACACACACACACACACATACATATAGACAACAAACTAAATTAGAAACCACACGTCAGTGAAGTTATCAAATCCTCCAGTTTCCGTCTCCACCTCCTACGCCGACTCAAGTCCCTCGGTGGTCCTGCACACGAGCTCCTCAGTGTTTACACAACATTCATACTTCCCAAGCTCACCTATGCCTCCTCCACCTGGTCTTCCTCCCTAAATGCCACACAACGTAAACACCTCGAAAAAGTGCAAAAGAGGCCATGCAAGATTATTCTCTACCCTTCCTACTCCACATATCAAGAAGCGCTCAACACACTGACCCTTTAGACTCTCACTGACCATCACCACGACCTCATCTGCAAATTTGGTAAGAAGCTTCTACACCATCCCCGACACCGGCTCCTACTACCACCTGAGATCCCTAGTCCGAGAATTGCTCTTCGACACCACAACCGCATCCAGCCCAGCCCATACGTGCACGAACTGATCGCTATAAGAACAGCCCAGTCCCAACCATTGTAAAAATTATCGATAACTTGTAATAAATCAGTGTACTCACTCCCAGTAAACACTACTCCTTGCACTGTCACTATGTTGAAATGAACTGTAGTTTGAGCTTTTCCCCAGCTAGTTATTATATGTCTTATTTGTGTCACTCATGTTACTTGTATATTATTTGTAATTCGTAACCCATTCCCCAAATATGTAACTGTATATTTTCAGCCTTCTGGCTGCCAAGCTCTTTCAATAAACCGTTAATTATTATTATTATTATTATTATTTATATGTTGGCCCATACCAACTCACTCCCCTGAACCCTCCTCCCCACCGGACTATCAACAAGTTCTTGCCATAAGGTACTATCTCATTTGGCAAAGGAATGGAACCAGTGATGAATAGTGGTGAACAGTGCTTAACTCAGTGAAAAACAACTCGGCAGTTGAGTCTTACCCAAGCTAGCTAACCACCTTCACACAGTGAGGTCCCAGGTACCCAGTTATACTTCCCCTGAGACTCCACGATAGAGAGGCCTGGGACCACACCTCACCCACTTGAATGAGTGAGTCATGTCGACCACGTGGTGTCCCCAAGATGCTACGACACCACGTAGTGAATGTTTTGCTACAGCATCATCATGTGAAGTTCCTCATAACACCATCTGTGAGGTAACTGCTACATCATCAGGCCCCTCATAACGCCATCTGTGAGGGAGTTACTACACTACGTGTCTGGTGTTTAACATCTCACCTTACATTATCTACGCGTGCAAACATCAATCTGTATGTTCACTGTGTGCTCCTTCACCTTTCTCTAATGAGGGCTTTTG